GCGCTGCGCCTGGCCGCCCCCCCCCCCCCCCCGCCGCCCCTCCCGCCGCCTGTGTGGCTCCTGAGAATGAAGCTCAAATTTAAAAAAGAAAAAAAACAAACCCCAAACCCCCTCACCCTGTGTCGGCAGGTCCTGGGGGCTGCAGCTCCGTGGACACCATAGAGCTGGGGGGCAAGCTGCTGCTTCCCCAGCTGTGGCCACCACTGCTGCCATGCACGCAGCGTGCCCACCCTCCTCACTGTAGGGTTGGGGGGTCCCCCTGAAGTGCAGGAGGGACTCCCCAAATGCTGGAGCATCTCTTGCTGGAGCCTTGGGGAGGGATCCTGCTTGCTGCCTCCAGCTGCTCTTGCTGCTTTCCCCTTGCTTTTATCCCCAGGAGAGGGGACGGTCAGGGGGTGGCGGAGCCTCAGCTGAGTTCCCCAGTGTGGAATTTTGCTTCTTGGGGTGTGGAGCTAAGATGGGCCAAGGCAGAATCTGGTAGCAGGAGGGAAGCTGGGTCCCCGGCAGCTCTGGGGCTGGTGCCTGTGTCCCTGTGGCAGAGCCCGTCCCTGTCCTCACATTGCAGCCATTGCCTTGGTTTCCTTCCATTTTGCTTTTTCCTCTCTTATTCTCTTTTTTTTTTTTTTCCCTGGTAAGACCCATGGTACAAGGACCAGGAGAAGTGGCTCAGTTTTGAAAGCAACAGGAGGCTTTATGTGCCTATATATATATATAAATATATAGATATATATATACACATCTATGTGTATGTGTGGGATTTTTTAAGTACAAAAATCTATAGAGGTAAATAATAAACTTCAGCTGAGAAGGGGCTGGAGCTCAGTTTGCCTCCATTGAACCCCCCAGGAGCATTGGAGCTGGTGGCTGCAACCTGACTAAAACCCCCAGAGGAGAGTGGGGGACAGGGGACACCCCCAGGGCTGGGGTGTCACATCCATTTATTTGTGCACCCCAGGCTGTGAGGGGCTGCATGAGCCCATCCCTGCATGGGGATGGGTGTTGGGGGGGTGGACACAGATCATCCTGAGTGGCCCTAAATAGAGTGAGGGGCTTCATGCTGCAAAGTGCCCAGGCTTCCAGTTAAAAGGGGGGCTGGGAGAGGGTGAGTGTGTGCCACTACTACTGGCACTGTCCCCCTCCTCCTGTGCTGCTGTCCCTGTCCTTGGTGGGCTGTGCTGGCCCCATCAAGCTCTGCCACTTGGGGGGGTGGCAGCTGTGAGGGCAACATGATATATATAAAAATATATATATTTATATATATATTTATATATATATTAAAAAAAAAGAGAAATGTGGGGTTACAGAAAGTGTGTGTGCTGGTATTCAGGAGCCAGCAGTAGCCCCTACCCACCCTTGGGGGGCAGCCTGAGCCCCCAGCCCTGGCTTGGCTGGGCAGCAGCACTGCCCCTGCCCCACTTGACCACGCCAGGGGTGCAGTCAGCCTTTCTGAGAGTCGGCCCCCCACCCCTTTCCGTGGGAGGTGTGGGCCCCGGTGCAGCACTGCCCGGCAGCACATGGGGAGCATCTTTGGGGTGCCCCATGCGCAGGGGGGGACCACCAGCATGGGTGCAGTGGGGGCTGGTGGCAGCCTTGCGGCTCAAAACTAGGGCCGTGAGCCACTCGTGCATGTGGGGGTCCTGTGGGGCCAGAGCCCAAAGGAGGTGCTGGTGGGGGTCCAGAGTGGGTGGCAGGTTCCCAGGGTCCCCGTCCGTCCCTGTGGGCAGGAGGGGCTCAGTTGGAGAGGAAATCAATGGTGGCTCGGACTGTCTTGGAGGTGCGGATGTCCATGGCGGTGACCTTGATCTCCGTGTCTCCGAACTGCATGCTGGCACGGATCTCGCGTCGGCCGCGGGCCGGGCTGCCGGCATCACCCAGTGCCTCCAGCTCCAGGCTGATGGTGCCGCACTTACGCACGCCAGGGTCGGTGATGTAGACCACGTCGTCCGTGGCACAGCAGTAGATGTTGATGATGGTCTTGCGCTGGCCCGGCCGGGCCGGGCAGTAGCTGCGCTGGACCACTTCCCCCAGTGCCACGGACTGGTCGACGGAGACGAACTTCTCAAAGATGTCGGTGCACCAGTTCTTGCCCTCCTTCACCAACAGCTTCTCCCGCGGGTGCTTCCCCTCCACGAATTTGTTGAGCACCCCCACACCATAGGTCAGGGGGGAGCGGCGGACACGGACGATGGTGGGGTCGAGGCCGAAGAGCACAGCCCCTTTGAGGATGGTCAGCCCCACATCTTGGGGGATGATGACGCGGCAGGTGGGGCCGAAGGCTGCCTGGACGGCGTGCTGCAGCATGGCCGACTCCGCGAAGCCCCCCACCAGGAAGAGGAACTTGATGCCTTGGACCTCTGGCTTCTTCAGGAGGTCATCTGGGGGGGGAGAGAGGGGGGCGTTGGGCAGGGCTGGGGGCTGCCCGTGGTCTTCTACCCCTGCCCCGGTGAGAACAGGCACGGGGCATGACTGGGGGTGCCACTGCAGGGTGGCAGGGGGTCTGGCAACCAGGCTGCTCCCACCCCCAGGACCTACCGATGTGTTTGATGATCTGGCTGATGGTGGGCTGGAAGAGCTCACTCATGGCCTCCGAGGACATCCGCAGCATCCCTTGGGACGACCACTTCACAAAGTTGACGCTGGGGAGGGAGAGAAGGTCCGGGGTTGCCCCCTGCCAAAGGCTCCCCCAGCCCAGCAGACCCAGGAGCAGAGCACCCCACCTACCCTTGTCCCCCCCAAAAATTTAGGTCCCTCTGAGGCCACATGCTCCCCCCAGGGGTCCCCAAGCCCTGTTATTCCCCGCCCCCCTCCCCAGCCGGGCTCTCACTTGCTCTTTTTGAGCGCCGTCTCCACATTCTGGCCCCGGTGCTTGCGGTAGAAGTCGATGAAGGAGAAGGGCAGGGAGATGTTGAGGGGGCTGGCGCGGGAGGGGGCTGCCGCCCGCTTGCGGGCCTCGAAGGCAATGGTCAGGTCCACCCAGGCGGCAGGACGCTTGGCCTTGAAGGTGGCGATGAAATCCTCCCCGAAAATGTGGCACAGCAGCTTCTCGAAGGCCAGGTCTACCCCCACGGCCCCGTAGGGACCCCCTGGGGAGGGCATGGGGGGGTGGGCTAGGTCAGGCAACGTCCCCATTGCACATACATCCCCGTGTCCCCCATCACCATGTCCCCAGACCTCCCCCCGCCCAGCATCACCTAGCAAAGCCTGGGACACTTTCAGTGCAAGACCACGGCCCCCAGCCCCACTGCGGCTCTTCTGCAGGGGGATGAGGGTGGGGGGACGTGGAGGGGAGCCCCCACCCAGGGCTGAACCAGGGGACAGGGACAGGTACCTGCATTGGCAGGGGGGCATGGAAACATCCCCCAGGAGCAGGGAGAAGGCAGGCAGCATGGCTGCAGGGACAGCGGTCCCCTGTCCCACCAGCACCCCCAATCCAGCAACCCATCCCTGTCCCAGCTGAGCCCCCCCAGCCCAGCACCCCAGTCCCACCGTGTCCCCCTCTAACCCCACACCCCTGTCCCACCAGCACCCCCAATCCAGCAACCTGTCCCTGTCCCACCCAACCCCCCCCAGCCCAGCACCCCTGTCCCCCCACAACCCAGCACCCCGGTCCCGCCTGAGCCCCTCTCCCACCTGACCCCCCCAGCCCAGCATCCCTGTCCCACCGAGACACCCCCAGCCCATCACCCCCACCCCACTTTGCCCCCCCCCAGCCCTCCTCTGCCTTTCTTCCTCCTGACACCAGGTGGTGCCACAGACCCAGCTACGACCCTGCCGGGGACTGAGAGGGGACCCCGGCCCAGGAGGGGGTCGCTGGTGGGGGGGGGACAGAATGGGTCTGGGGGCCACAGCCCACCTGAGGCTTTGTACAGCTCCTTCAGCGTCCCCTGCAGCTTCTCGATCTGGTGCACGGTGAGGTCCACCGTCCCGCCACCACAGTCCGCCACGATGTAGCGGTCACCTGTGGGCAAGGACAAGGGCCGAGTGGGGGTCCCGGGTCCCCCCCCAGCCGCTGTGGGGTGTCCCCCAGCACCGCAGCAGGGCTGACCCCCTGGGACACCCATCCCGTGGGTTGGGAGCAGCCGCTGGGACACAGCTGTGGGCTGCAGGGCTGCGCTTTCCCCAGGGAAAAAACCCCACGATTTAACCAAAATATGGGGGTTTGGTTCCCACCCCCAAAAAACAGCTGAAGAAGTTTTGGAGGGCAGGAGGGGGACATTGCTGTGTTTGCTTGGAACAGTGGGATGGGAGGGTGGCAGACAGACCCCCCCTGCCCTCACGGGCATCTTCTGGGGCGTCAGGACTGAGTGACAGACTGGAGCCGTGTCACCCCCACGGCAGGACCCTCCCCTGGTGCTGGCAGGGCCACGCTGGGGGGCTCTGCCATGGTGGGTACGTCCAGCCCCCCATCCTCTCGCCCAGGGTGACCCCGGGGGCCAGGCAGCACCGGTGGGGACTCCTGCTTGTCCTGTCCCCCCCCCCACCAGTGAATCTTCCCCGGGATGGGGTCTGCTGCGGGGGGGTGCACTGCCCATCACCCCTCCTACCTGCCTGCATTTCCGACCAGAGCTCCCCGACTCCCGACTCCACCAGGAAGGTACGGCTATGCCGGGAACGCCGGAGCTGCTCTCGGGCTGAGGGACAGAGCAGAGGGGCTGGTGTCAGACTGGGGGGGGGGCCGGGGCCAGGAGCATCCCTGGGATCCCAACCCCCCGCAGTGGGTGGCTGCACTGGGAGCAGTGGTTGCCCACTTCCCTCCAGCCGGGACACCTGACATGGCCCTGGCTGCACCGCAGAGGAGCTGGTCCAGCCATCCCACTGTTCTGCCTGGGATCCCGCAGGATCCCACGGGATTCCACCTCACCAGAGGTGTCCCTGGGTGATGCCGCCTCTTCCCCTGTCCTCCCCAGCTCGGGTGGGGTTTCCTCTGCTCCCTCCATCCTGGGACGGGGGACATCAAAGCAGCCCGGAAGGGCAGGGAGTGTTTGGAGAAGGTGGGGTCATCCTGGCCTATTTTTGGCATGCCGAGATGGACACGGCACACTAATTTAATTAGCTTCAGCCCTGGGAGGCAGCTCAAGCCCCTCTGTAAATCCAGAACCCTGGTTCTCCGACCAAACGCAAGACAAGGGCTGTGGCCATGAGCAGGTCCCAGCTCCGGGGCTTGGTCCCGGCTGGGCAAACCAGCTCTGTCCCAGTAAAGCCCCAGCTCTGTGGCTGGAGTGGAGGGGACCCCCAGGCTCCCCATGCATGGGGGGAGCATCCTTGCAGGCAGCTCAGCAGAGGGTTTTGGACAGCCCCGGAACAGTGGGTAGATCCTTTCCCTGTCCCAGGGTTACGGCATTGACAGGGGAGGTCGGCACGGGATTAGGAAGCCCAAGGGCTTGGCCCGTATGGGGGAGAAGGGAAGCAAGGAGCCGGGGTGGTGGAGGCTGAGCAGAGCGAGCTGCTGGGAGGAATCCAGGGCAGCTCCGGCTGAGCCAGCAGAAATGGCTCTGGATGGAAATGTGGCGAGAGGGAAGGGAAGAGGCGGCCCGGGGAGCTGGGGTGGTGCGGGTGGAGGTCAAGGGCAGGTTGGGCAGACAAAAGAGGCCACGACCATGAGGGTCACACCTGGGAAAGCAGCCATCGCCTGCCCTGGCCATGTGGGCTTGGGGAAGGGGGCAAAGGGGGGAGCAGGGCTCCCCGGGGCTGCCAGAGAGGGGAGCAGCCACAGCCTTCTGCTCACTCCCTTGGCACAATGCCCCACTCATCTCTGCCTCAGTTTCCCCCATCACCAGAAGATGCCGCAGGCTGGGGGGTCCCCGTGGTGTTGGAACCAGCCCTGCCCTCGCACGGGGGTGCAGGATTGCTGCGCTCCCTTTCACGCTGCGGAACACCCACCGAGGACTTGCTCCGGCACACGCCAGTGCTGCGCAGAAACCCAAACGCCTTTTGCCAGATTCGGTCTCGTTTGCTAAACTACCAGAGAAGGGAAAATTATAGGGAAGGGGATGGGAAAGTGGAAAAGAGCCGGGAACTCCAGGGTGATCCATGGTGCTTGGCCCAGGGACCCCAGTGCTGCAGCCCAGGCTGAGCTGTGCCCCAGGTTTGCCTCAAACCCCCTCCCCAGCCACAGCTGGGAACAGACCCTCAAGACATGGCACGCGGGACCGGATCCCTGCCTGCTCCATCTCCTGCTATTCCAGCCTCCCACCCTGCCAGGACCCTCTGCCAGCTCCCAGTCCCGCTCACCCTGCCGAAAACTGGAGTCGATGGAGTGGTCCGGCGCCAGCCCGTTGGCCGGGGGTTTGCAGCTCAGGTCGATCAGCTGGTGGAGGCGAAGTTTCCTGCAATAAATGGAAGCAGCTTCGGGCTCCAGCGCGATCAGCAGCTGCTCCGGATTCTCTGGGGACACCAGACCGGCCTGCGGAGAGGACAGGGTGTCAGGGCAGAGAAGGTGCCGGTGCACCGGCACATCCCTGCACGCCGCAGCCTTACAGCTGTGCTCGGGCAGGGCTTTCCTGGCCCTGGCCTTCGTGCATCGCTTTTGCCTGCATAGGTACTATATGTTGCACAGCAATCCTACGTGTCAGGGCTGTGCGCCGGGCATCACCCGTTCGGTAGGGGTGGGTTAGCTCCTGCCCATCCCAGGGACCCAGCAGTGGCACCAAGCATCCAAGGGGGACCCTCCATCCCTGGGGGAGCACACGTCCCCATCCTCAGCCCCCCCACCTTGCTGCACACCCAGCACTGAAATCCTCCCACCCCACCAATGCTGGGTTTCAAAGCCCAACAGCCAGAGTCCAGCTTTTGTTCTTTAGGCTGCCAGGACATGCCAGAGACCCTTCGTTATGGAGGCAGCACCCACAGGGGAGGGGGGGGAAAGAGATACCCCCCCAAAAGCACAGCCTCCTGTGAGGGTCACCATGCAGAACAGCCTCCCCCGAGGGACCCCTCACCTTGTAGGCAGCCTCTCGCATGAACTGCTTGGCCGGCTGCTTCCAGATGGCGGGCACGGTGATCACCCAGCGGATGGCATCTCTCTCGGGCAGGGACGGGCACTGGTCCTTCAGCTCCTGCCGGGCAAGAAGCAGCAGGTGACCCCCCCGGTTGGGGCATCGGAGCTCTCGGTAAAGGGTGAGGAAGCAACACGTCACGCGTGTCATCCTCTCCACGTGTACTCCGTTTGGGGAGGGAGAGAAGGGCTGTGCTCATGTGACAGTGCAGGGAGACCCGGCTCGGGTGCCGGGGTGCCCTACCTGCACGGCGTGCTGCTTGAAGAAGCGGAGTGCGTGGGCAAACACCTCCAGTGCTTGCATTTTCTTCCCATTGACAGCTTCTAGTTCAGTTTTCATGGTGAGGTCCTGCCAGGAAGAGCAGTAACAGCAAACAGATCACACAGGGTGCTGGGACGTGGCCGGCATCCCATCCCGGCTCTGTCGGTGAGCCTTGGGCACAGTGCTCATCCCCCACCATGCCAAATGGACCAGCTGGGGCGCAGGCACTGGAAGCACCACTCTGCGGCCACATCCATCTGCCCTGAAGAGGCTTGGATGGGGGGAACCAAAAATTCACCCCCCTGCAAAGGGCTAAAACATTGCAAAATGTGTGTAAAGCAAACAGGGAGCTGGGTGTGCTCAGTCGGGATGCTGGTGATCAGAGGTTTTGCTGGTAGCCCCTCTCCAGCCCTCCTGGATTTCTGTTCCCCCCAGTGAGACCCTCTCTTTGCTTTCTGCAAAGTGGGATAAAGCCCTGGGGCCAGCTCAGCTCACATCTAGCCCGGCCAGGGTCCCCGTGGGTCCCCTGGGGAGGTTGGGGCAGGAGCAGAGACTCACGCTGGTGCTGTGAATCTTCATCTTAAATTTCTCAAAGTACAGCCAGTCGCGGGCTTCCTCAGGGTCCAGGTCGTGGTAGTAGTCCCTGGCAGTGTAGCCAAAGCTGTGGAAGATGCCCTCCGGTGTCAGCAGGAGGCTGGTGGGGGTCTTCTGGTTGGCCACCCCCGGGTCCCCTCCTTCCCATTTCCTGCAAACAGAAGCCGGCGGCAGCCCGTGAATGTCAAGGCCAGAGAACGGATCCTGCCCCATTTCATTTATTTATATGGGCACAACCTCAAGCACCTTAAAGAGGGACAAAGAAGGGACCAACGTCCCTGGGAAGGCCATCGCGAAGAGTGCTTTTCTCCCTGTGCAACCCCTGCAGGGCTCCTCTGCAGCCACGCAGGTCGTTAGAATAGAGCACTAACGAAGAGATGCTCTCACCCCATCCTCCCGCTCAGCGCGAGACCCATTTCATGGGCTCCTTCCACCCGCCGCTGCCAGGCAGCATCCCTCATCCGTGATGGTGTGGGTGTTCATTGCCCAGCCCGGCTCCATCCCTGCCTCCCGGCAAGCCGACTTCCAGCCCCTTTGGGCAAAAAGTCCCTTAACAGCCCTGGGAGCAGTGCTTGAAGCTCCCGCCGTTCCTCACCTCATCATGTGTATGGCCTCGGGGTCGCTGGAGAAGCTGAAGGCGTAGCCACTGGATGTGGTGCCAAAGTCGATGGCCACCACCACAGCGAAGGAGGCGGTTTGCTGGGACCGAGCCTCGCTCCTCTGAAACACAAGGGTAGCCGTTAGGGATGGGCTTTGTCCTGGGGGCAAGCATCAAAACAGAGCTGGCTGCTTCCAGAAAAGGGGTTAAAAAACCCTGAAAAACCCATGAAAGGGTTAATTTTTCCTGGATCAGGCCCACAGGCACTGCGATTTCTGCCCAGGGAAGGGATGCAGCAATGCCGTGGTTTTCTCTGCAATGATGCCAAAAACATGGGGCAATTCCTCCTCTTACATGGCTCCAAATCACCAAGAAAAGGGACTGCCTGCACTGGGCTCTGCGGGGTTCCTGCGGTGGTTCCCAAAGGCAGGCTCATGGGACAAGGGGATTTGGGCAGCCCCAGAGAGGGATGGATGGAGGGAAGCTCTGTCCCTGAGAGCTGCCTGGGGCTGCGGTCGGGTCTCTGTTTCTTCCTGGGCTGGGGTGGTGCTGAGCCCTCCACACTTGAACCCTGGCAAATTTTAGCTGAGATTCCCCAAAACCTTCCCTGCTCCCGATCTTGGTCCAAGGGACCTCATCCCAGGTGTCCCCACAGGTCACCCAACCGAAAACCTTCCTGGCCCAGATGCTTCAGGGGGTTCCCGCTGCTGCTTTTCTGGTCCTGCCTTTGGGCCCCCATCCCTCGCCTCCCGGTCGCGGCAGGGGGCCGCGGTGCCGGAGGATCCACGAGGATGCGGCAAGCCCCGTACCCGTGTCACCAGCCCAGGCTGCCGCCCTTGTCCACCGCAGCCTCCCAGGCGCGTGGGGCAGACACAGCTAAAAGCCCTCATTAACTTTTAACGTATCCAGATTTGATAAGCGCAGACATTAGCTAGCCGTGAAAAAAGCCAGCGATTAGCATGGGTGAAGTGGTTGTCTCAGAAATGTGCATGTTCAGGGAGCTGCAAGGACAGCGAGTGCTGGGGAGGAACTGGCTCCGGCATGCTCCCTGCCTGCGTCCTTCCACACTGGGCAGTCCCGGGGGACATGCAGGTAGGAGCAGGCTGAGGCCAGGAGCTTTGCAAGGAGTTAAACTTATGCTGGTGTTTTCTCCGGCTCCTCTCCTGCCTCCTGCGCTGGAAGAAACCTCCATCCCATCAATCCCACAGATAAGAGGGGGGGATTTGGGCCCCAGCGATAGACTGACCCATCCTTCAGCTGGTGTCGGGGTGTGCACTGGGGATGGCAACCAGCCCGGCAGGGGAGGTAGTAGGAGGTGACCACCGACCAGGGAAGGATCAGAGGGGGCAATGCCGGGGAGACAACTGCCTTACCGGCGACTGGGAGGGCGTCAGCGGGGCGATGCTGCAACTGTCGTGGGGCGTCCCTGGGGAGCCGGGAGGGGACGGCGTGGGGCACCGCTCGCTGTTGGCACCTGGGGACACAGCAGGGTAAGGCTGGGATGGGGATGGGTCCTGGTCCCTTCTGAAGACCCTTCCCCAAGATGAGGGCAATGCATGACATCCTGATGAAGATGCAGCCGGTGCAGGCTCAGAGCTGCTGCAGGGGCTGCTCCCAGTGGGCTCCGTACAGGGCAATTCTGGGCTTGAGGGGCTTCCCACGCTTTTTTCAACTGTGTTTAAGGAAGGATCCAATCAGCACTGATTAAATTAGCAAACGAGGAACCCCTTGGAGGTGTCATAAGGAGGTGCAGGAACTGGCTGTACCTGGTGTTAGCACTGGTGAGCTGCTGGTGAGCTCACAGGGATCCCTCCCACTGGGGATGGGGCTCACAGCCATGCAGGGGATGGGGACAGTGGCCAGAGAAGAGCCACAGGACTGAGGGACCTTCTCCTCTGGGGCTGGGGGATGTCAGCTCTTGCTCAGCAAGAAGATGGGTGAGGGTGAGTTGGTTGTGGTGTTTCAGGGACGAGTTCAGCTTGCTGGTGTGGGCAGGCTTTGGTGATGAGACACAGGCTCAATGTCTTCTCCATCGCCAGAGAGGAACTGGCACACGGAGGAAAAGTCATCTCATCTTGAAGACAGTATCCAAAGTAAGTCAGGTGAACCTGCAAGCCCAGTTTCTCCCTGTTGGTTCTATAGAGACCCTTGGTGGTGGCTGCAGATGGAGATGTTCTGTAGATGAGCCAGCCGAGGTGGGATGGATCCTGCCTTGCACATCTGAAGGGGACCAGAGAAGTGGTCTTTGACTGGCAAAGGAGCAGCCGGATCTAATTCCTTGCAGCTGACAGTAGCAGAGTCAGGACTAAAAACCCATGACGTGTTTGTAGCAGAAAGGGACGCAGTGGTTCTCCAGAGCTGCCTATTTTTAAATCAAGACAGCCATCATCACATAAATACACGCTAGTTCAGCTTGGCAGCGCCTGGTGGGGACGACTGCAAAGGATGCCAGAGGCTGCTCTGGGCAAGCAGCTGAAATGCTTGTACCCAGCGGGAATGGGGGAAAAACTTGGGAAAGAGCTGCCAGTGAGCTACCAAGGCAGAGCAAGTGTCTGCAGCATGAGGCCATGGAGACCTGGCTGCTTGGCCCTTGGCAAGGGGAGGTGTGCTCGGCTCAGACCCACGGCCACGGTGCAGAACAACCCAGTTTGGTGGAGACCCAGTAAATCCTGCATGAGCCTGTGATAACTCCGAGACATTGAGGTTTAGCCTGCGCAGGGAGTTCAGGGAGACTTATGCTGTCTTGCACTACAGTGAGCCATGGATGTGCATGGGACCAGGCACCGTGCTGTGGTGGCTTGTGCAGTTGCCCTTGCTCTGCGGTGCCTCCTCCTCTTCCTCCTCCTCGAAACACCAGCCAGCTCTGTGTCTCCTCGGATGACCCCCCCCCAGCTCCTCCACCAGCAGAAGCCTTGTGCTGGGAATCCCCATTAATCCTGGCGTGTCAGCCCAGGCTGGAGCCGCTGCAGAAGCCCTGGTGGGACGCCTGGCCCCCAGCCCAGCCAGCGCCGGGATGGTGTGAGCCCCGGGGCTGTCCTGCATGCCGACGGCGTGGGGCTGCCTGTTGCCTGCACTCCTCTTGCCACATGGCTCCAATTAGCAGAGGGGATTAATCATCCGCCCTGCGAAAGCACGAGCCGATGGACAGGCTCCAGCTGTTGGTGGGGGGCAACCGGGAAGGGGCTGGTGCAGCTGATGGCGTGGGGCCGCCTTTCCCAAGGGGCTTGGCTGGCTCTGGCTCTGGCGAGGGTATGGCCATGCTGGGAATGGGGTGTGGGGTCCAGGCGGTGACAGCGGGGAGGCGGAGGGGCTGTCCGCCCCACGGGCTCTGCCGAGACCCACGCTTTGGGCTTGCGGCTCCATGCCAGGAGCCTGCCGGGATCTGGACCACAGGAGCAGGGACAAGCAGCACCCACTCCCAGCTGGACTCTGGAGAGGTTTGGGGCTGGAGGAGGCTCCTCAATCTTTCCTCAGGGAAGCGTAAAACTCTAGCTCTTCTTTGCCAGAGGGTGCCAGCAGCTGGTGTCTGTGTCCAGCTCCCACTGCGATCAGTTTGCACCAGCATGCCCAAGGAGCAACCTTTAAATCCCTCTGGTAGCTCGGGAGCCCCAGAGCCTGCAGCAGGGGTGCTCTGGACCCCCCCAACAGCAGCAGCCATGGGGTGGGAGCCAGGTTCAGCCGCGTGGGCACCCCCATCCTGGCAGCGGGGGTCCCAGCTGCTCCCCGCTGCTTTGTCTCCTTGGCCGGCTGAGAGCCGAGCTGCCGGCACATCGCTTGCACCAGCCTCGGTGCTGCGGTGTCAGGGACGGTGCTGTGCCACATGCCCCCCAGGAGATGTGCCAGCGGGCTCGGTCGCTCCTCGCTGCGACACGGCTCCGGTCCCTTCACTCTTGCTCTGTAAGTGCCTTTCGCTGTATCCCGTGTCTGTGCCATGAATATTTGATCCTCGACAAACAGGAACGTCCCTGCGGGCATCTCCGTGTGCTGGCAGAGCCCGGCAGCGGGGGGAGGCTGGTGTCCCCCAGCCGTGGGGGGGGGAAACGTTGCCTGGGTTAGGCAGGGAGCTGGTAGCTCAGCCGGGCTTTGAGCCTGGGGGTCCAGACCCCAGCCTGGGGCTGTGCCCATGAAACATCGTTTCTGTAGGTCCAGAGCCAGAGCTGGTACCCTCCAGCGTGTGGGCACTGGGCTCCCAGTGGTCTGGGGGAGCTGGGGGTGGGACCCGCAGGGTTTTAATTCTTGCAATGGCCTCTTTGCTCAGGCTGTTCCCTGGCTTTGTGTTTGCAGGGTCAGGTTTCCTCGGCCGCAGCAGCTGGTTCTGGTTACCCCAGCGCAGGAGCAGCGTGGGGGGCTCCTCCACACCGCAGACGGGAGGACGGTTGCGGGGGGGGGACGGGACAGACGGATGGCTGGGGGAGCGGTGGGGGGGACGCCCGGGTGCGCGGGGGAGCGAAGGGAGAGGGTCCAGGAGTGTCATGCTTGCAGAGAGCTCGTCTCTGCTGGGGACAGGGGGCTGTGGGCAGGGACCCCCCCACTGCCATGCCCGCTGGGCACCTTCCCTGGGGGGAGCAGCCTTACCCATCCGCAGACTCTGCATCCCAGGCTCCAGGAGCATTGCCATGGCGGCCTCGCCTTCCCGGCTGCAAGAGAAGGAGGATGGATGATGGGATGAGCGTCTGTGTGCCCAGAGGTGCTGGCTACCCTCTCAGCAGCGGGGTGCACAGCGTGCCACGGGCTGGGGTGTCCATGGGGTCCCCTCACCCCCCTGAGTGCTACTGGGTGAGCCCAGGCTCAAGCCCCCCCCTTGAAGACCCAGCAGGGACAGGGCTGGCTGTGACCCTGCATCCCCTGAGACCCCACAGGAGACCCCCAAAGCCCGGGGACTCAGGTTGCAATAGGGTGCAGGAGGGTGGGGGGCTGTCCCAGTTCAGCACGCACCCGATCGGCACCGGCCAGGTGCCGGCACGGCCGCCGGCCCAGCCTCTGCGGGAGTGGGGGAACCCCGTTCCTTTCATTAAGCGGGTCAGACACATGCGTGATACAGATGTTGTGCGCAAAACGCCGTTCCGCCAGCGTGGGGTCTATGCTGCCGATTTTTAGGCTTGATCACAGAAAGAAACTGAGGGCAGGTGATCCTTTAAAGTTATTTTCTTAATTGAGGTGGTCACTGCCCAGGGCCAGGCTCCCTGCAGCATGGTGGCCGCACTGGCAGGAGCAGAAATGGCCGAAGGCGTCGCTGCCCGTCCTAAGGGCTGTGACCCAGCGTTGACCAGCTTCAAAACTGCTTTCCCAGCATAATAAACTGGCTCTTGGCTCTCTGCCTGATCCCATCACCTCCGAGGCTGCCTGCCCCACGCTGACCGCTTTCATCCTGCGGAGCTGCGGGCTCAGGACAAGGCTTAGCTCATCGGGGAGAGGCTTTGCTCCGAGCCAAACCCACCCACGTGCTGCCGGCCCGGCGGCCTGATCCTGCTCTCGGCAGCCTCCCGAAAAAAAAGCCTTGTGCTAAAAATGGCAGGTGGGGGGACTTCTGCTCCGGCCACCCCGGCGGAGGGTGCGGCGAGGGGCTGAGCGAGGAGGAGCTGTGGCCGATGCAGGCTGTGGGTCAAACCGCAGCGGGGAATGTGGTGCTGGTGGTCCGGGGAGGGCACGAAGGGGTATCTGGCAGGCTGAGGCTGGCAGAGGGTCTTCTCCAACAAAACTGGGCTTTCCATGAGGTTGTGAGAGTGCCCTGCAAGGATGTGCTCAGGGAATCGCCCCTTCAATGGCAGAAACTCTTCCCTGGGGCTTAGCTTGCATTTTTGGTGTATGTTTGTCCTGGCTTCAGGTCGGACACCACTCGTGCTTCTCTGGAGCCAGGTAAGGGGTAACTCCGAGTCTGTCACCCCAAGAGCCCAGCCCAATGGGGTCTGTGCAGGGACATCCTCCGTGCCCCCCGTCCCCGGGGTCTGAGCTCCCAGGGGAGGCTTCCTGCATCCCGTTGATGCACGGAGCTGTCAGCCCAAGCAGGAGGGAAAAGCAAGACCTTGGGCTCTGGTGACTTGATGGTTTTGTTCCCTGCCCCTCCGTGGCCATGGGATGGTCCGGGCAGTCGGTCCGGAGCCTGTGCAGACCCTCAGGCTCCGGGTGGCTGAAATCCTCCATCTCAGCAAACCAAACTCTGACAGTAGATCTCACTAGGGGGGTGGCTGATGGCTGCCTTTGTCCCCAAGCTGCCAAGCCCCTGCCTGGGGTCCTGGCGAGGAAGATGAGTGGGGTCAGCCCACCCTGGCAGCCAGTGGCAGCACACGGAGGGGCTGAGGTCTCCTCCAGCCCCCCGAGGGGTTTTGTCTGGCCGTGCATCTCCTCGTACAGCGCTGGAGACCCGGCTTCTGCACCCTGTGCTGGCAGGGCACTGGTGAGGCTTTGGGGTACCCAGTGAGCCCAGCACCCCCACAATCCTGGCCGGGGGACACAAATGGATCCCTTCCTTCCCACGCACATGCGTGTGAGCAGGGCACCCGTGCAGAGCCCTTGTGTCCTCCAACATTGTCCCCATGCAGATCCTGGGCAGTGATTGCTCTGCCTGCACGTGAATCTGCCTGCATGTGAAGCTGCCTGCACCCGTGCCCCCTCCCAGGGACATGGGCTGAAGCCCCCAGCTCCGGGGAGCCCCGCCATGCTGCCGGGGAGAGGGTCCCGGCGGTTCCCAGTGCTCGCTCCAGCAGCTTGTGCAGGAGCAGCGTTTTTTTGAGGACTTTCCACCATTTCCGCCTCTGCAAGGGCTCACGGAAACAGGGAAAGGAAACAAGTTTGGGACGGCTTCAGGGCAGGCAGACAGGCTGGGCACCGGGGCCTCGGCACGGCATTGCCGAGTGTGGCACGGGGACGCCGTGGCTGGGGCTGCCTCAGCTCGGGGGGGGGTGTCTTGGGGCAGCTGTGGGGCTGCGGTCCAGATGTGTGGGGAGCGGGAGGAGGCATTCATCCCCACAAGCCTCTTGTGCTGGGAGCGAGCACATCTGTGGGGCTGGGGAGCCCACAAATCCTCCAGGCAAAGCTGTCAGGTTTCCATGACCGTTTGTGGGCGTCCTCCCCTTCCCACTGCCATCGCTTGGCCACAGCTGGGACACGGGAGCCGGCGGGATGTCCCTGGCACGGCTTGCCCCGGCATGGGCTGACACATCACTTGCAGCCCCTGCGCGGTGCTGGCACATCACGGCACTATCCCTGTGGTTTGCGGTGGTATCCCCGCCGGTCACAGCAGTATCCCCCCCAGGACAGGGTGTGTGGGGGGACAGGACCCACGAAAACTCAGAAGGGGCTCAACGCAGCAATCCCCACTCCCACCCATGCCCACAGCCCACATCCTCACTGGGGAGAGGCCTCGGGAATCCTGACACCCCTCACCCACCCCAGTGCCGGTGTGCTCGCTCACCAGTGCCCCCAAACTGGGGAGACACCCCAGGCATCCCGGCTGGCTGGGATGGTGACACCCTCGCCCCAGCCGAGGGAAAAGCCGGGCAATGCCGGGTCCCCACACCTCAGGCGGAGCGTCTGCTGGTCCCCAGCTCCCACGAAGCCCCACGGCCGCTTACCTCTGGGAGGGGGGGGACAGGTTGGGGACCCCTTAGTCCAGCCACCACCTTCTCGCTCCAGCTGTGCCGGCCGGGTGCCGGCTCCCACCGCCACCGGCGATGCCCTCCCGCCCGCGGCTGCCGGCGATGCCCAGCAGCTCCGGCAGCGGCCCGTCCGCGCAGCCGGCCCCGCCGCGTAGCCCCCCTTGCTCTCCGGCTTCCTCTGGCTTCCCCGAGCGCCTTCCTCCCACTCCCACTCCCGGCCGGCGCCCAGCCCAGCCAGCGCCTCAAATTGCAATTCCAGCTGCAGATGTGGGAGCGGGAGGAGGAGGCAGGGCCAGCGCCGCCGGGAATGAAACCTAAACTCCCCGTTCGGCCCCGGGCTCGCCGCAGACTCCCCAGATCGGGGGACCGTGGGCTGCCGAGGGGGGATGGACTCCTGAGGGGAACGAGGCTCCCAAAACAGCCAGGAATAGGGATGCTGGGGGGAAAAGGGAGAGACACCGACAACCCTCCACCTCTGCCGGCACTGTCGCCCCGTTAACTTGTCTTTTTTCTCTCCCCACGCATGTTTCTCTCCCAGTTTTTGTCACTCCCTTCATCTTGGCTGACACATCAGACGTAGCCCCATGGCTCTCTGCGCCTGTCTTTCCCTACCGCTGGCTCTCTGCCCATTGGTCTGTCCTGCCTGTCTGTCCATCTGTCCAGACATCCAGCCACCTCCTGACTTCAGAGCCCCATTTTTCCCAGCCCCGCAGCCCCCCCGAGCCATGCTGCTCTCCAGACAGGGCTCCTGGCTTGGGCTGTGCGGGGGAAGCGGTGCCGGGGTGTCCCGAGAGCAGGAGGCAGGCGAGGGCTCCGTCCTGCGGCTCCCAAAGGTCTCCGTGCCAAGAAGAAACCATCCGTGGAGGACTCAAAAGCACAGGCAGATCATTGGGATCACTGGGGACATTGGGATCATTGGGATCGTTGACATCGTTGTGATCATTGGGATCATTGAGATCATTGGGATCGTTGAGATCATTGGGATCACTGAGATAATGGAGATCGTTGAGATCATTGTGATCACTGAGATCATTAGGATCATTGCTATCAGGGAGATCATTGGGATCACTGGGATCATGCATCAAGCTCAAGAAGCCCCTGACCTGCGGATGGCTGCAGGCTGGGGGGGTGGTCTTACTGAAAACCTGCAAAGGTATATAAAATTAAGGTATACCAAATTAACACAGTACATGTAAATTGGATCCCAAAGGGATTATCTAGCAAGTCCTAAACTGCCATGGGGAGTGGAGGCTCCATGCTGCTGGAGTTGTACTGGGGGAAACCTTGGTATTGTTGCTGGGACAGTCCCCGGGGGCACGAAGCTGCAGGAGCCCAGCTGAGGGACAGGACCACGGGCAGGACTGCCTGCGAGCAGGATTTGATCAAAGGACAGGCATGGAAAGCCCCATGGCTGGGAATGGGCATCGGCTAGGGATGCGGTGGCCTGGAGCAGGATGGGACGGATGGTCGGCTGTGAGTGACAGGCTGACACTGACACTGACAGGAGATGCACGGGTGGGAGCAGAGGGGCCACCGCAGCAGCACCGTCCTGTGCCAGCACCGGCTCTGCTGCGGGGACATCGACACACCGAAGAGGGCAGGAGGGTGAATGCTGAAGTGGCAACGAGGAGCTGAGCTCTCTGTGTGGAGCCCGAGTCCCTGCCGGGGGCTCAGGTCTCTGAAGCAGAGATGAAGTTGCTGGGCTTTTGCTCTTCTCCCTGGGCTGGGCAGCCCAGACACCCCGGTGATGGGCTCAGCAGGGTGAGTGCAGCCTGAGGGCCACGCTCCACGTTTGCCTCCCTGGACCATCCCCTGGGAAGGGTGTTAGGGGACTCTTCCCCACAGACGTGGAAAAGGGCTGGGGTGCCGGGGGTGCCTGTGATGTACCGGTTGTCTGTCCGTCGCGCCCCCACACCTATCACTGCACTTGCGCATCTGTCCGTCTCCCGACTCACTATACCCGTGCATCCCTCCTGCCCGCACACACACACATTTATCTACCTGCCTGCTCCCTCCCCTCCTCCTCTTTCTGTAGCAGCGTCTGAGTCACTGATCCCAGTTTGGGAACTGGGAAGAGCCTGATGGTGCCTGGATGTGTGGTGGGCTGGGAGGGGGTTGAGCAGGCAGCTCCTGCAGGCAGGTCAGGCAGGATCTGGGCGAAGTATGGAGCTAGGGCCAGCCGCTGTGGGTTCCTGAGCAGGCTGTGTGCACATATGCATGTGTGCACATACACACGCATGGGCATGTACAGGCATGCACATATGTGCGTGCACATGTTGCATCCTCCTTCCTGCGCCGGCTGGACAGAAAAAGCCACTTTCCAGGTCATGCAGGGCAGCAGGTGCCCAGCTGTACTGTGGCTGTACTGGGGCCATACTGGGGCTGTACTGGGGCTGGCGGGGGTTGAGGTGATGGGCTGGGTGGCCGGAGCAGGGAGGTCTCAGTCCCCCCCCCGGGAGCCCTGCCCTGCATCGCTGCGCTGGAGCCGGGGAAGCTTCTGGAGGGAGGGGAAGAGGAGGGGAAGAGAGGGGCGGAGGGGGCTACGCCTGTGTTTTCTTCCCTGGCTCCCCGTCAAGAGATGAGGTAGCGCTTTCCGGTAATTGAGGCAAGGCCCATGGAAATGCCTCGGTGAGACAGGAAGCCCGGGAGGAGAACGGAGAACCGGAGCTGGGAAGCGAGCACCAGTCCCTGGCCAGGACGCAAAGCCTGTGCTCTGCCAGGGGCGGAAGACAAAGGCCAGGCTGGTGTGTCCCCCATGCCGGCATCCCGTGCTGCTCCAGGGGCCAGCACCGGTGCCCCCTTCCCCGGGAGCTGGGGCAGGCGCCGGCCAGGCAGAGCCCTACAGGCACACAGGCAGCCTTGTCCCCCTCCTGCCCAGTTCACCCAGTTTGCTCCTCCAAAGGCAGGCAGCATCTCCCAGGGCGAGCAAAGCAGAGAGCTGGTCCTTGCTGTGCCAAGACCTACAGTGCAAGGAGGTCAACCTTCATCATCATCATCCTCATCACCTCCCATCGCCAGGCATCCCGGCGTGGGGCTGGGGGAGTGGGATGGAGACGTGGGCAGTGGGGCCGGTGCAAACGGCGGCGAAAGAAGGTGCCACGAAGCAGACCGAGATCAGCACAACCTTGATGCCAAGGGGATCCCACGGGGAAGGGGGTGCTGTCGCCCACGGCCCCCCTCCACCCCTTCCCTGTGCCAGCACACCGGGAGCAAGGACGGAGCACACCCAGCCTGGGAAGGGCCAGCTCGCTTCCTTCTCACAGCACAGCCCCTGCTTGCAGCCAGCGGGAAGGGCTCCGGCCAAGGGCAGAGCAGCCGGCTGGGCCGGCGCTTGCAGGGGGCCGCGGTGAGGACGGCCATGGCCGGGGGGGGACCAGGCAATTTACGAATTTTCCCATTGTTGGCTGTCCCACCCGTCCCCGCTGTTCCTTGCAGAGCTGCAGCCCCCTTTGGGCTGTTCTGGGTCCCTCTGAGGTTCTGCCCTAGCCCGTGCCCCATCTCACCGTACTCTTGTACTGTGCTGAGATGGCCGAGTGCCGCCCCGGGGGGGGCTTTTCGGGTTGGTGACACCCGCTCCAGCTTCCCACGGAAACCACGGGTAGATGGAAAGCACCGAAGCGCGGGGGCCATCTGCGGTTGTTTTACACATGGTTTGGGACAGGCTGTCAGCAAACAGCTGTCAGCAAACAGCCCGTGCCTCGGTTTCCCCACTGTCCCCATTGCCAGAGGTGTCAGGGAGGGCTGTGGCGGGCAGGGGGTGCAGAGACCGAGCTCCCAGCAGCTGAGCCCCACAAAGCTGCCTGTGGCTGCTCCCCAAACACCCCTCCATGCCCTCTGGGGGCTGTAGGGGCTGCTGAGCGGGGCTTGGGGTGCAGGTGGGGATGAGCCGGCTCGTGGCTCCGGCATTTTCCCGGGTGCCCAGACAGCCGTTAGCCAGTGTGCCGTCACCGTCCCTGCCCACTGGGTCTGGTCCCAATGTGGCGACGTCCCCTCTGCCCCCCCCAAGGACACCAGGAGCCCTACAGGCCCCGGGTATTTGGTCTGAAGGAAATGATGGGGCGCTGCCCGCACAGCCGAGGTCAAATGCCCAGTGGAGTCCTGCTGACCCGGCCGGACCCCTGGGTCCTCGTCCCAGCCCTGGGGTCCCTGCCGTGATGGAGGAGGAGGATGAGGATGCACGTTACACCCGCACATCGCCTGTCCCAGCCCCGAGCCCGTGCCAGCTGGGTGTCTGGAAAGCATTAGCCAGCCGGGCTGGTGCGTTAGCTGCTAACGAAGAGAGGACGTGAGTGCTGGTCTGGGTGAGGAGGCAGGCACGCCGCATTCCCCTCCCCAGCTCCCCATAGCTCCTGCCACCAGTCAGCGAATATTTCCTGAACTGGGTCAGCTGGAGTTCTCCGGGAAAGGAAAATACACCCAGCAAGAGGGCCCAAACGGGGGGCACAGGGCTGGGGGAGGACCTGTGCAGCAGCAATCCCTTGGGGACCTCTGCACCGTCCCAGCTGGGGGGGTCAGGACTCCCGGGTCCCCTCCTCATGCCCAGTCCCCTGGTCTCCGTGCTGGGCCCCCAGGGACCCCCATCCGAGACCCCCTTTCCTCTGTGGGCACCAGGAGCCGGTGGGGGGACGAAGGAGGCAGGATGGGGGGGCAGCAGCAGGGAGCTGCTGTTTCCCTGGGATTTTTGCCACCCCCTCAGGGCACTGTGGGCTTAAACCCAGAAAAATCCCGTCACACAATTGTGTGTGTGACATTTCTCCCTCCCCATCTCTGGGACCCACACAGAGCCCCGCCACGGCATCACCCTGCTACAGCATCGCCCCACTGCAGCATCACCTCGCCATGGGATCGCCCCACCATGGCATCACCCCGCTATGGCATCACCTGTGCCGAGAGCCCGCCTGGTCGCTGCCTGGGTTTCCCAGCTCTCCGATGGGAGACCCCGTCCTCCACTAACCCACCCTGCAGGGCTGGAAACCTGGGCAGAGCTTTTGGCTGGGGTCAGCAGACTGGTGGCCAGAGGGGCTGCTCCTATTGCCACTGCTCAGCCCACCCCTGGCCTTATCCTGGAGCACCCATGGGTGCTGCTGAGGCTGCCCGGGGTGGTCGCCTGCCTTTCCCACCCTCTGCCTGGGGCAGGCAGGGCACAGCTGGGGCAGACCACAGGCACCCCGCACTCGTGGCTGGGTGAGGCCAGAGGGATTTGGGCTGCTCCGAATTCCCCCAGGATCTCACACCCAGCTCCCGGCCGGCTGCCTGGGACTGGGGGCAGAGAAGCCCCTGCAGAGCTGCTTCCCCCCCGGCATCCTCAGCTGCCTGGGATATCCCTGCTGGCCAGCCCCGGCTATTCCCTGGGAACAGAAATGGAGGATTTGAAACAAAAATGGATCTTTCCACCTTCCCGCATCCTGGGGACCCCACGACCCTGCCCTGCTCAGCACAGCCCTGGCAGCACGGTGGGAAGGGGGGGTTCCTGCGGGCCTCCAGCTACAGCTCCCAAGACTGATGTTTCAGGTCCTGATAACCGTGAGCGGTGAAAAAAAGATGAGCAAAATGCAAAATGATGTAGCAAAGTGGCTGCAGCCGGGAACAAGGGAGCTGAGCGGCGTAGGAAGGATCTTTAGCCTCTTCCCCGCAATCTCGGCCGCTGTTAGTAATGCGATGCAGGCGAGAGCCGTGTCGGGGACATCGCCTTGACAGCAGCCGTCCCTGAGAGCTTTTAAACACGTCCTTCACTTTGGGCTCAGCGTCCTGCCCCGTGCATGGTGGGAGCGGGGCGAAAGCATCTCCTACCCCCACAGCAGCCGAGCGTGGCCCTGCCGGTTCAGCTTCAAGCACTGGGGCTGGAGGGGGCTTTGGAGGGGGGAGCAAAGGTGCCTGGATGAAGGGTCCCCATCTCCCAGGTAGTGACAGCCCTGGGGATGGGCAGCATTGGGGCGAGGGTGTCCTGCACGGGAAAACCGTGTCGTGGGATGATGCCTTAAAAATTTCTCGTGAAGCTGCTTTCTCTTAACTTTCCCTGCAAACATTTGGATTTTCAAGCCGATGTTTTACTGCCAGCAGTTTTGGCAGAAACTGCTTTTTCCCTGCCAGAAAACTGAAGAAAAACCCAAAATCAGAGT